CAAGGTCAAATTTTAAAAATGGCTGTCAGTAGCCAGCCTTCCCCCATGCTGGGTAGAGGCTGATGTGCAGCCCTAATTTGTGCAGGGTGTTATCAATGAACTTTTTCTGTTTCCTTTTTGCAGCAGATATGTCTGGGTGATCTAACCTATAAATAATGATCTAAGGCAGTAGTTGGTATTCAAAAGCCTTTGAATCTGGCTGTGACCTTTCCTGCTGCATGCATTTGTAAAGGACTATAATGATAACTGCAGTGCTTCCTAACTACTGTTACCACTCTGAGAACCCCAATGCAATGAATAGAGTAACAACACTTAGAAGAAATAAAAATACCCTTCCAAAAACTACTAGCTTTCTCTTAAAGCAGTTGAATGAGATTCTTTTGTGTGTGTTAAAGGAAGATGGGGGGGGGGGGGAAAAAGGATATGCTCTAAACTTTAAAGGAAGATGGGGGGGGGGGGGGAAAATGATATGCTCCTAACTATGTACAGTTCTAGGCACAAGTATGTAGACACTTCAGTGCATTTCTGCTGTGTAGTTGGTTCTACTGTGTATATGTCATACTGCACTATAGCTAGACTTGGCTGTTGCATGTTACCTAGGCAACAGCTGTATTAGGTCAGTTAAACCAAGCCTTATTTTAGAGCTAATAAGTCTATTTTACACAAACCTAGTATTTTATGCTTATGAGACATACGATTGTGCTAGGAATGTGCAGCTAGGGCAAAAACCACACTATTTTCTTGGAGGAAAGCATGGGGAAAGGAGTTTTCATGCACGATCCTAAGACAGAAGGATGCTGAGCCCTTTTTTGAGGATGTTGCCTTGGAGGGGATCTCCACAAAGGAAACATGATCAAACTGCCTCTTAATATTGGAAGAAAAGGCTTTGAGTGGCTTAGAAATGATGATTTTTTTTTTAACCTCAAGAAATCGCATCTGACTGATACTAAAAATAAAGGGAAAAAGCCTGGCAGACTCTATCACCATCCTGCATAAACCAAGCAGCTTTTAGGCTAACCCTGTTTCTCTTGGGTGTGGGAAGATGGGAGTGGTATTAACGTGCTGCTGAAGTCCTCCTCACACTTGGTGTTTGGATGTTTCCATGTACCTTGCCAGCCAGTTACAGCAGTGTACATTCAGAAGGTCAGTCCTATTTTCCCTGCCAACAGCCAGACAGATCATTGCATCTCTTTAATGTATTGGCATGTTTTCTTCACCTTCCAATCAGTAAAAATAATAGCTTGAGTCTAAGTGTGAAGAAGCTAGCTGCCTGCAACAAATGAAACCACTAGAATGTTTGTCTGCTTCCACAGTTGCCTCCTTCACTTTAAATTCTTAACACTGCCCCAAAGTGCAACAGGCACTGTAGTCAATACTATGAAAGTGGGGCTGAAATAGGGAAGGGACTTTCTTAGGGTGATGCTTATGGTTGTGATGAGATTTACATCTTAATTACCCCTTAAATATATACTTACCACAGAGGATCCACCTAAGCCCAAAGCTTAATGTGAAATGCGATGGCAAATTTCATGTAAAGTTTAATGTGCGTCAGAATCTTAGCCAGATCCTAAGCCTTCCTTTGTATTGATAAAAACAAATGGAAGTCATTCTTTTTATGTGCTTTGTATGGTTATTCACTCACAGGCTGGATATGTCTACGAGGGAGTGCAAGCTGTTAGTGACTCCAGAAGAGCTGAAATGTGGGCTGGAATCCCCCAGCAGCTGATCGGATTGTATGATATTGTCTGTTTGAAATTCAAATTCCAAGGTGACACTAGGCACCTACATACCAGGGCTGGTGGGGAGGGATAAGTGTATTCTTCAAGATCTACCATAGCCACATACCAGGAGCCCTAAAAGTATATATAGAACGTACAAAACACAGAGAAGCACCTTTATCTTTGATCGTTTAATGTGGACAATAGCCACTGCACATGACTTGACAGTAAGTGAGAGCGTTAATTGCTAGTTGGTATTGTCTCTGTGAATAACACCTTCTCTTAGACTTGAGCAGTTGGAGAATGTGCTTTGGCTTTGCCTAGCCACTGTGAATCCCCAAATTTAAGTTCAACTTGCCTCACTAAGTTGGGGCTAGTAACTATTTTTTCAAACTTTTTTTGGGGGGTGAGGGGGGAGGTCGGGGTTCATACCCTGTTTTAAGTTTATGTTGCTGTATACTTCTCTGATTCTATTATGGAAAATAAAGAAGTGTAATACTTCATATCACTACACCCATGCTCTTACTTCTCCAGGATCTAAGATATTGTAAAGTTGTTCTTAACTGTTTCTGTTTTTTCTGTACTGTTGTATCCCTTTTCCTTCTGCTTTCCTGTTCCTTCCTCTAACATGCTGTCTCAAAGGGCATTACATACCACCCAAGTGTCTATATATACCAGCTTCAGAAACACTTCTCTACATCACTATTTTTTGTTTCTGCATCCTGAGAAAATAAAATGTGACCTTGAATTAGGACTAAGGAATTGTGAGGTGGTTACAGCTTTGTGATTGTGTTATGGGAGGATAGGACTAAATACCCTCTTTCCTCCCATTATACAATCATGAAGTTGCAAAAGATAGACACTTGAGATAGTCTGGGCTTGATGTCTAGGTTGGTTTCATAGAAGGAAATGGCTACATTCTAGCAGGGCCTGGCACAAAACTTCATAGAATCAGAAAAACAGGGCTCGAAGGGTCCTCCAGAGGCCCTTTAGTCCAACCCCCTGCCTCAGGCAGGATCATGCCTATCCAAACCATCCTCTGCAATCCATGTTCTGAACTCTACATAAGACTACCATCAACCCTGATACAACACATACCTAACAACCTAACCTGCCGCAGGGGAACCATGGCAGCCGATATCCTGCTTCCATGAAATGTTGTCAATATATATTCAAGAGATCTGCTGTAGTGCAAGCTTTGCCAGAGTTGTGCTGTGTGACCTCATGGGCAGTTGACTTAAGTCCTGAGCCTCCATTGTCCGGTACTGCAAACTGAAGTTGCCCATGCTTCAGATTTCTGAGAAGCTTTTCTTTATTCATTCATCTTTGGTGGACTAATATAAAGGGATTAAGAGAGGCATGTCCTCTCTCAAAGGCAATGGCTGTCTGCCACAGTGCAGGGGAAAGGGTGCCGGCGTGCCACTTGAGGCCAGCAGTAGAAGCATGGCCTGGAGTCACTGCACCCTGCTGTAAAGAGGTTTTGTGCTGCTGTGCACCCTAAGCCTGGCATCCCAGCTGGGGCAGGCCATGACGCCTGGGCAGTGGCCTCGCTGCAAGGAGCCTGTCACCAGGCCCCAGGTCGTGCCTCAAGGACCCAACACGGGGAGCTTCTAGCGGGTGATGGACTAGCTGGGAGGTCAAATGGGCCGTCATTGTACTGAGCGAGGCGACACTCTGGTGCGAAGAGACACTCGCTTCGGGGTGGAGGGAAGCATCTCATTGGGTTGGGTGGACGCTCTGGTGTGAGAGGACTCTATGGTGGACCCCTAGTTGGCCGAACGGCCGCTCTGAGGGAGGACTCTATGGTGGGTCAGCCGAATGGCGACGCTCTGGAGGTGGGAGGGGACTCTATGGTTTCCGCGAGAGCTCGTGGCGGCGGAAGAGAGCGAGGGGCGGGTCCTCGCAGCGGACACTCTGGCCCAGATTCTGTGGTGGAGGAGCAGGGCGGCGGCTGCTCTGGCCGGCCGACTCGGTGGTGTGGAGTCCCGGAAGCGGAGCTCTCCCAGGCCGGGCGGCGGAATGGCGGAGAGCCCGGCGGCGGCGGCGGTGGAAGTGGAGGAGGCGGCGGGGCCGGGCGGCGGCGGGAGCAGCCCCGGTGTGTTCATCCCGGCCGAGCTGTGGGCGGCGGCGGGGTTCGGGG